AAACATTTTCTGGACTTTTTATAATAGTAGCATCATACAATATTTGACCTCTTGTGATTGATTAATTTCACTTAGCATAATGACCTCCAGGTTCATCCATGTTATTAGGTGGTTAGCAGATTTACCATGATTATTCAGCACTGCTTAGTATTCCATTGTGTCTGTGTACACAAGTTTGTGTATCCATTCTTCCATTGATAGGTATTTAGGCTGTCTCCATCATTTTGCTTTTGCCAGTTATATTGCCATGAACATGCATGTGCATCTATTCATGCCATGTTTCTTATTTTCTGAGGATATATACAGAGTAGAGGGACTCCTAGGCCCTATAGTATGTCCATTTCTACCTTTCTGAGGAAGTGCCATATTGTTTTCCACAGTGGTTGTACCATTTTACAATCCCACCAGCAGTGTAGAGTCCCAGTCTCTCCACACCCTCATCAGCATTTGTTTTCTGTTATTTTGTTGTTGTTAGAGTGTCATCAAATTGGTTCTGACTCATAGTAAAACCTGTGTGATGTTTCCAAGGAGCAGCTGGTGAGTTTGAACCACTGACCTTGCATTTCAAACTGACCTTGTGATCCCGGGCTTCACCAATAATGAACTTTGCTATTAATGCTGGGGTAAAATGATAATTCATTGTTTTGATTTGCATCTCTCTTACTAGCCAATGATCTTGAGCATTTGATCTTAATTTTGTCGGCCTCCTGAATGTCTTTAGTGACATGTATCTGTTCATGTCTTCTGTCCATTTATTAATTGGATTATCTGTCTTGTCGAGGTGTTGCCATTTTCTATAAATTTTAGAGGTTAGTCTCTTGTCTGATAGGACATTGCCAAAAACTTTTTCACAGTCTGTGGATTCTCTTTTTATTCCTTTGGTGAAATCTTTTGATGCATGTTGTTGTTGTTGTTAAGTGCTGTGGAGTTAATTCCGACTCATAGTGACCCTATGTAGGGCTTCTGAGGGACAGCTGGTGAGAATGAACCACTGACCTTGTGGTTGAAACCAACTTTGCAGTCCAGCGCATTAACCTGCAGTGCCACCCCAGGACTCCTTTGATGCATATCTGCTTAATTTTTGGGAGGTCCCAGCCATCTATTTTGTCTTCTGTTCTTTGCGTATTTTCAGTTATGGTTGATAGTGTATTTATGCCATGTATCGAGCTGTTCGTCCCTGTTTTTTCATTGATGACCTTTATAGTTCTAGGTTTAACATTGAGGTCTTTAATTCATGTTGAGTTCATTTTTGTGTGTATGGTATGAGATACAGACCTTGTTTTCATTCTTCTTCAAATGAATTTCCAGTTTTGACAGATTGTCTATTTCATTGGCTTTAAGGAATTTGGTTATGATGTTTCTTGTGTGGGAGCTTGATTGAAATGGTTGGATTGTGGACTTATAGTTGTCATCAACTTTGGAAAGTTTGGGGCCATTATTTCTGCAAGTTTTTTTTTTTTTTTTCCCTAAAACCATCCTCCCCTTTTGGAGAGTACATTTGTGTGTATATCATGCCACTTAACAGCAGTCCTGTCTCTTAGCTTGTGGAAGCTCTGTTGGTCTTTTAAATTCCTCTCTCCAGTCCTTTGCTGTTTGCATTTCATTCTTGATAGTTTCTAGTGAGATGCTGTCAAGTTTAGAAGTCTTTTGTTCAGTAGTATCTAATCTACTCTAGGCTGGTCCAGTTTTCCCCCCTCATACATTATAGTTTTTATGTCTGGAAAGTCATCTTACGCCTTTCTTTATAAACAGTATCTTCCACATCTACATAAAGTGATCATTTTTTTTCTTTCAACTCTGGGATGTATGGAATATGGTGGTGGTGGTGGTGGTGTGCTGTGGACTCATAGTGACCCCGCTTAAGGTTTCTGAGGCTGTAGACCTTTACGGGAGCAGAAAGCCTTGTCTTTCTCCCGTGGAACCGCTCGTAGTTTCAAACTGCTGGCCTTGAGGTTATCAGCCCGACTCATAACCACTACGCTTGCTACCACAGCTCCTTCTATGGAGTATAGTTATAAATAATGACTATCATATCCTTTCCTACTAATGTCATCATTTGTGTTATTTAGGTGTTAATATCACAATGGGCTCAAGCCTGGCAACAGTTGTGAAGTTGGCCCAGGACCAGGCAGTGTATCATTCTATTATGCACAGGGTTGCTATGAGTTGGTACCGACTTGATGGCACCTAACAATAGCAACAATTTCTTGGTTGCTATTTCTTCTAATATGATCTTATATTCCTGTTACTTTGCATGCCTGCTATTTTGTTTGTTGTTGAGTGCTGTCAAGTCGGTTTCGACCCATAGAGACCCTGTATAGGGTTTCCAAGGAGTGACAGGTGAGCTTGAACTGCCAACCTTGTGACTCAAACCAGCTTTGTAGTCCAGCACATTAACCCGCAGTGCCATACCAGGACTCTTTGCTTGCCTAGTAATTTTCAATTTTCAACTTATTTTAATTCTGAATATTTTTATAGCTCCGTAACTTTCTTGAGCTTTGTTCTGGGATGCAGTTAAGTGTCTTGGAAAGAGTTTGCTCTCCTTAATTCTTGCTTTTAATCTTTGTTAGGTAAAACCAGAGCACCCTTTAGTCTAGGACTGCTTTTTCCTTGGCATTGAGGCAAATCCTTTGGAGTACTCAGTGTCCCATAAATTAGGTGTTCCAGTTTGGCTGGTAGAAACAGGCACTGTACCTGCCATATGTACACTCTAGATATTGTTCTCTTTAATCATTTCATGTGAATTCTCCCTCAGCTTCAAGGGGATGGATAGAACAGGGAGATTAACTGCAGAACTCTAGGTTCTTTCTTCATGCACTTTGGCCTTGTCTTATACTCTGCCCGGTGAACTCTAGCTACCTTGGCCTATTTGAACTCCCTCCTTCATCTCTTCAATTGAGGGGGACTGTTGGGTTCCTCTTTAGGTTCCTGCTCTTTGCATATTGGTGTGGAAACTCTAGGCAATAAATTAGAGCTATTGTAGGGATTATTTTGTTTCCAAATCTTGAATCACTGTCTTTCATTATGTATTGAGCAGTGTGTTAAAACCATTTTTTTCCTATACTTTTTTCTAGGTTTTTTAGTTGTTAGGTTAGAGGGTATATCTGGTTCCTGTTGCTCCATCTCGATTCCAATCAGAAGTTCAGGGTTTATATTTGAAAGAAGTAAATGTGTGTTTAAAAAATGTGTATGTTTCCTAAACCGTTTTCTCCCCTCAGTTACTTCCAGCTGATAAAAATGTACTGTTGATTTCATTTAATCCATATCTTATTCCCCAAATAATTTAGCTGTTAATGTAATAATAGACCCCCCAATTTAGATTTAAAAAAAAATCAAATTTCTCGCTTATTTCTTGTAAAGTACAAGTAATGTCTCTATATAAAATGACCTTTGGTTTATACTGCTGAAAAGCATTGCTGTAGGGGAGATGAGAAATCTAAGGTAGTTTAGTCTGAGATGTACTAAAGGAAGAACAATTATATATACCCATTTTATAAGTGTTGTATTCCCAGTCTGGTAAATACATAGTTTTCACAGATATTTATAGATTACTTTTTTTTGTGTTTCAGATAATCAAGCAAAAGAAACATGAGCTTCACCTGTGGATTGCAGTCAGCTATGAGAAACTGTGTTTACTTTAGATTTAATTCACTGACCAATGGGAGAAAATATAACACACTAGCTGTAAACTCACAGGGCTGTAATCAAGTACAAATGAACTATATAGTAAGTAACTATCAGGGACTGAGAATAAATCAGTGTGATAGGTTTACTTTTCCTCCTAGAAATGTTCACTTCTATAAGACTTTTAATAACAAGAGAACAGGATGCCTCACAAGTAACAAAAATAAGGAGCTTTGGAGGATTACCTACAAGTGTACTGCATGGAATGACTCTTTCTCAAGACAGCTGTTGATAAAAGAAGTTTTGCCTTTTTCAGCATTGCATCCTTTATGCTGTTTTCCTATAAGAGAGATCAGAAGTTTCCACACTTCTCCACGTTTTCAAGCTGCTCCAGTTCCTCTCCTGTTAATCATTCTTAAGCCTGTGCAGAAACTACTTGCAATCATCGTAGGCAGGTAAACTACATTCCAAAGAATCCACTGAAAAGGTGTCTGTAAAGCTACACGTGTAACGAAAACTTGTTAGTCCTTTCCCTTTTCCTTCCCTGCAACATTTTTTCAAAACTGGAATTTTAAACAATTAGTTCTGACTCCTGGTGTGTGTGGTGCTGTAGGATCAGTACTCTACTGCAAACCACAGGTTGGCAGTTCAAACCCACCAGCTGCTCCTTGGAAACCCTATACAGGGTCTCTATGAGTTTGAATAGACTTGATTGTACTTAACAACAACAATTTTGTTATATATGATTTAATAGTCTTGAATAAATTTACTGCATAATTTTTTAATGTAGAAATATAAATGGCTTAGGCTGGATTCTCTAGAGAAGCAAAACCAGTGATGCTTATAGATGTATATATAAAGGTAAGTTTATATCAAGGAAATGGCTCACATAGTTGTAGTGGTGGGCAAGTCCCAAGTATGTTGGTCCAGTGAACCTAGATTAACAGGTCAAGTAGCAGGCAGGTAGATAGGTAGGTAAGATGGCAGGCAGCTGACAAGTCTTAGGATGGGCAAGTAATATAGCAGACCACTGGTTCAAGTCTGGATGATGAACCAGAAGCATGATCCAGACTCAGCAGAAAGCAGCAAGCTTTGCTTGAATGTCTAATATGTTAGAAGCAGGCCACACACCCTAGGAAACATCTTTTCAATTGATTGGTTGAAATGTAGGTTGTAACTTATGTAGAAGAACATCACTTAAATACATTTGGTTTTGGTTTGGAATTTAAGGCACTTTCGGTGCTGATTTAAGAATACACTCACGCCTAACCAGGTAAACTCTTTACCATTAATTCTTTGTTTTTTTTTCTATTCTATTTCCAACAAATCCTTTTTTTTTTTTTCTCTTGATATTTCTTTATAATAATTGATATTGTTACAGCTAAATAGTACTTTATATTTAGCTTAGTTCCTGACCCTCATTTAAATAATCCTCTGTTCTTTTGTTTGATTTTTGAAGACTGAGGAAAGGTAAAATTAATTATTTAGTTGTTAGGTTATTGTCTTCTTATAAAACTTTCTTAGGTTTGATAACTATTAAGAAGACTTCTTGTGTCCATGTTGTTGTTGTTGTCAAGAGACACTGAGTCAGTTCTGACTAATAATGATCTCATATAGGGTTTCTGAAGAGCAGCTTGTGAGTTTGAACCACCAACCTTGCAGTTAACATTCCAGTGCTTATCCTACAGTGCTACACTATACTTCCATATTAGCCAATCCAGATTGCTTTTTAACAAAAATCAAGAACAACTATTCCTAATTTGCTGTGTTCTTTTATGATTTGACTTTGGCGCGTAGAAACTATATAGCTATAGTAGTTCTAAATTTAAATACCATGGCTGACTCATCCTAGGAGCTTGGTATAGTAGCCCTTTCTGATTTCTAATGGTTCTTTCTCATGCAAAATGGCCTGTGGGTTGGAACCACTGATTTTTTGCTTAGCAACAGGATACTGAGCCACTGTGCCACCAGGGCTCCTCCTTGTGTTTTTTTTTACCCTTTAAAAAAAATTGATGTTAATATTGTGGTGGTGGTGGCAGTGGTGTGCCATGGAGTCGGTTCTGACTCACAGCGACCCTGTATAGGATTTCTGAGGCTGTAAAACTTTATGGGAGCAGAAAGCCTTATCTTTCTCCTATGGAATGGCTGGTAGTTTTGAACTGCTGACCTTGACATCAGCAGTCCTACTTGTAACCACTATGCTACTTGAGCTTCTTTGTTAGTATTATAAGTCACTTAAATATTATTTTTAGAATTTGCTTTGCATACGTTTTAAATAGTAGTAAATCATATGTTGTTATTGTTGTGTGCCGTCGAGGCAGTTCAGAATTATAGCGGCCCTTTACAGAGTTTCTGAGAGTGGCTGTTGGGTTTGAACCGTTGACCTTGCGGGGACCACTCCAATGCTTCTCCTACATTATCACACCTGAGCTCAGAAATCATATGAGGTTCTAAAATAGGAAGTAAGTATGCATCGTAGTTTGGCTTATGTCACTCCAGTTTGAAACATGACTGACAGGTGTTACAGGTATGGCACCTAACAGAATTATTTAAGAAGCCAAAATCCTCTACTTCCTTATTTATAGTGTTCCTGCTCTACTCAGAGAAACATGTCTTTCTTCATGTTCCATAGAAGATGGTGGGGTTTCTGCTAGGCAGCAGCATTGATTTCTAAAATCAATGCTGAGATAGTTTCCCTAGTACCTTGTGCTAGCAGTCTGATGGGCAGTGGAAAGAATAGCTGTTACAGGTATAGATTTTTTTTTTGTAGCATCCTCAGATTTTATTTAGGCAAATCATCCCACTAAGTAAGTAGTGGTTTAGTACTCAAAGTCTGGAATGAAACTGCCTTATTGCTTGGTTGTTCTTATTACCCCCTGTGTGATCTTGGACAAATTTGTTTAACTTCACCATGTCTCATTTTCCTTGTTTGTAGTAGGGTTAATATGGAGATTAAATAAGATGACCTATGGTGGTCAAGTTTCAGCAGAGTTCTCAGAATAAACTAGGAAGAAGTAGAGGCAGAACACTTCTGAATAGTTGGCCATTGAAAACCTATGAATAGCTGTTAAACAGTGCCAGAAGATTTTCAGGTGGAAGGCACTCACGACTGGGGAAGAACTGCCTCCTCAAAGTAGTGTTGACCAGTTGACCATAATGATGTGAATACAACTTAGCTTTTGGCACTTCCCGTTGGTTGATGGGAAACAACTCAAAATGCAAAGAAACAGCTGTAAACATCCATTAATAATTAGAATGCGAAATGTGCAAAGTATGAATCTGGGAAAACTGGAAGTTGTCAAGAATGAAATGAACACATAAAATTGATATCTTAGGCATTACTGAGCTTTAGTGAACTGGTTTTGGCATTTTGAATCTGATAATCATGGTTTATTATGCTGGGAATGTCAAATGAAGAGGAATGGTGGTGTACTCATTGTCAAAGAATACTTCAAGATCTGTCTTGAAGTACAGTGCTCTCTGTAATTGGATAATGTGCCTACAAGGAAAACCAGTTAATACAACCATTCTTCAAATTTACGCACCAACTACTAAAGCCAGTGATGATGAAATTGAAGAATTCTACCAACTTCTTCAGTCTGAAATTGATTAAATATGCAATCAAGATGCACTGATAATTGCTGGTGATTGGAATGCTAAAGTTGGGAACTAAAAAGGATCAGTAGTTGGAAAATATGACCTTGGTGATTAGTAATGATGCTGG